AATCTATGAGTTCAAGGCTCTTCCATTCGGGTTGTCCACCTCACCAAGAGTGTTCATGAAATGTCTCGCACCAGTGACTGCTTACCTCCGTTTGCAAGGCATCACGGTCTTCCCTTACCTTAATGATTGGTTGCTGGTAGCGTCGTCTTCTATAGTGCTGTCACAACATGTGACCTTTACCCTTTCTCCTCCCTCTGACCTTGGTTTACAGGTCAACCAAGAAAAGTCCATTTTGACACCTACCCAAAACGTTTCCTACATAGGAGGCGTTCTGGACGCTGTCTCAGATTGTGCCTTCATTCCAGAGAGCCACATTCTGAAAATTCATCAGCTTCTTCCTCACTTCATTCCAGGGGTGAGGGTTCAAACTCTATTGGTCCAGCGCCTCTTGGGTCTTATGGCCTCCACTACGGCACTTATTCTATAGGCCAGACTGAAGATGCGAGTCCTTCAGCTATGGTATCTGGACTTGTTCGACTCGCTTACAGATCCGCCCTCCAATACTCTTACAGTGTCGCAGCTGCTGGCAGAACAACTCACTTGGTGGTCACTCTGCTCAAATCTCCTCGTAGGCCGGCCTTTTGGCCCTCTCCAGCCTTCGATCCAGCTCACCACAGATGTGAGCCTGACTGGCTGGGGTGCCCACGTCCTTGGTCTTACAGCCAACGGTCATTTGTCTACAGAGGAAACTGCTCTTCACATCAATGTTCTGGAGCTTCTGGCGGTCTTCAAAGCTCTCCGGGCATTCGAGCGCCTACTCTCAGAGAAGGTAGTACAGGTGACGTCAGACAACACCACCGTGGTGTACTACCTGAACAATCAGGGCGTACCCATTCACGCCGACTCATCCTTCTCACCACTCAGATCTGGGACTAGTGCTACAATCACCACATCTTCCTGATTGTGGTACATGTAGCATCCACTGACAACCTCCTTGCGGATCGCCTAAGCAGGTCCCCGGACGCGTCTCACGAATGGACTCTGGATGGGGTAGTCTTCTCCTCCCTTTGCCAGAGGTGGGAGCTTGCTGTCCCTGGATCTGTTTGCCTCACCTGCAAATGCCAAATGTGACAGGTACTGTTCCTGAGCGGGTGTCGGGGGCCATTCGGAGGGGGATGTGTTCATGGTGTCGTGGACAGACGGTCTGGTATATGTGTTCCCCCCCCATTCCCTTGATACAGAAAATGGTCATCAAGATCCGCCATGATCAGGCCAATGTGATCTTCATTGCTTCCTGGTGGCCCCGGAAACCCTGGTTCGCTCCTCTGCTCCAGTTAGCATCGGATCACTTCCGACTCCCCAACCTTCCACATCTTCTCTCCCTCCACAATGGCAGGACATTCCATCCAGACCTAGACTCCTTGCATCTCACGGCCTGGAGGTTGGACCTTCGATAGAGGACGTCTTGCACCAGGCCCATCGGCCCTGTACGCTGGCTACGTACACACAAAAGTGGAAGTCTTTCTGTGACTTTGCAGAGGAACGCGGCGTGTCGGCATGTCCCACATCCCTGGACACACTCCTACAATTTCTTCTCCTCCTCTTTCACCAGGGTCTGTCTCACTCCACTTTGAAAGTTTAGATTTCTGCGATAGTTGCGTACCAGCCACCTCTCTCAGATGCAGCAAGGCTGTTCCAACACCCTGTGCTGAAACAGTTCCTCAAGGGTCTCCGCAATATGCGCCCAGCTTACAAGTCGCCCACTCCACAGTGGTCTCTTCAGCTTGTCCTGCGTAAAGTAATGTCTCCATCATTTGAGCCTTTGGCTTCCACTTCTCTGCAGCTTCTTACCTTCAAGACGGCTTTCCTTCTCGCTGTCACCTCAGTGAGGAGGGCGAGCGAGCTGACGGCTCTTTGGGCAGACCCGCCATTTATGCAGTTTCATCCAGATAAGGTTACCGTCTTTCCAGATGTTTCGTTTCTCCTGAAAGTAGCCACCTCTTTTCATCTTAACCAGCCGGTGGTCTTACCTATGTTTTTTCCTAATCTGGTGACTAATGTTGAGAAAGCACTCCATTCCTTGGATGTCAAGCGGGCTTTGCCTAATACATTTCCCGCACGGCATCCTTTCGTTCCTCTCTGAGACTCTTTGTGTCGTTTTTGGAACGCTCTATGGGTTCTCTGGTTTCCTCCCAAACCTTCTCCAAATGGGTGGTGGCTACCATTAAACTTGCTTATAAAATGTGGGCACATAATACAGTCAACCCTTGACTTACGAACGGCCCTAGTTACGAACATTTCGACTTAAGAACCACTCTGATAGGAAAATATGGACTCAACTTGTGAACTTGGATTCAAGTTATGAATGGAAAAAAGTGTGGGGAAGGCAGGGAAAGCGGGAAATGTGAACTTTAATTTAGCGAAGAGGCTGCTTGTCTGCTTCCTCACTCGTCCAAGCGGTTAGAGAGTGGGAAGAGAGACCAGGGACTGCCTGGGACTGTCATTTTTAAATGTAAAATTTAGTTTAAAAGGTGCTTTGTTTGGGTTAAATGGTGCTTGGGTAAAAGGGAGCTTGGTTTGAGTTAAAACTTGCTTGGGTAAAAACGTGCTTGGTTGCTTTAAAAGCTGCTTGTTTTGATTTAAAAGGTGCTTGGTTGAAAAGGTGCCTCTTTTGGTGTAAAAGGTGCTTGATTTTAAAAGTGTACTTTTAAAACAGTGTTCATTCGTTTCCTCCATGGTTTCCTGCCTTTTTTATACCTATGCCATCTTAGGTTAAAAATAAAAAAAGAAAAAAAATCTGCCCCTAGTGGTAGCAACTGATTAACTGGCTTTGCATTAGTTCCTGTGGGAACTTAATGCTTCGACTTACAAACTGTCCCTCGACCTAAGAACCAAAAACAGCCAGAACGGATTAATTGGTTTTCAGTGCATTCCTATGGAAAATGCTGATTCCAGTTACGAACTTTTCGACTTAGGAACGTCCTTCCGGAATGGATTAAGTTCGTAAGTCGAGGTTTGACTGTATACTGCAGTTGAATTCAGCTGAAGCTACAAGACTTGTCAAATAAGATTAGCTCTTCATTTGTTCTAGAAGTTATGCACATTTTTCTGTTTTCTGTGTAGTTTTCTGTTACATGAATCCACTGTTAGCTCAAGTAAATACATTTGCTGATGTAGCATGTTGCCACTTGTTTTCCAGGTCTTTCCAGATCAGAGTATTCAGAACACATTTTAGGGTTGAGACTTGGTTGAAACACATCAGCTTTTTTTAAAGAGGCAACGATCCTCAGTTTTAGAAGTTTGATTCAACCCAAATTCATCTTTACAGTGAGGAAGCAAAACTGGAATAGTATGACTTCTAGTTTAGTTGTGTTAAGAAACAATTAACAGTGTTCAGCTTGAAATATATGGCTGGTGTTGGCTACAGGCATAGCTCACCATACAGTATATTAGCAATCAGTTCTCAAGATATAGACAACATGAATTAACAATTGGCAGAACCGTGAAAAGATACAATGGTAGTCTTACTGGATGGCATTGGGGAGGCAGGCAACGGAGGTGGAGTCTTTTTATGCTAATTATATTTATATGAAATTATTTTTCTAAAATACTGCTTTTGTCACAATCGTCACTTCATTTGGTAGCTGATTCTACATAAAAGCAGAAGTAGGAGGCAAGGGGGTCTTTGCTTTTCTTAACATCTTTATGTTGTATTGTACATAGCAACAAGTCCATAAACCTGCATGTCAAAAACTGTCCTCAGTTACATTCTATTTCTGTGCCTGAGCAATAAACCTGTGTCTTTACCAAAAGTATTCTTGCACATATTTTCCTTATGAAGGTATAATTCTATTGCTGAAACCCAGTTGTGCAAACTGTAACTTTTGGAAGCAAATTGTCGTAAGTTAAGAAATCTCCCTAGATATTATTTGTTGCCTGCTGAGTATTGTGACTCAGTATGCAACATATATTGTTTATGGAGATGTCTTAAGTTAGAGCAATTCACTTCTAAAAGTTACTCAGTTTTTATGACTGCACAAGAAGATTTCATCTTATGTGATCACAATGTTTGCTGTTTTACACACCTTTCAAACTAATCCTCTCCAGATGGGTTGGTCCAAAACTTCCATCATCCTAGCCAGCATACCCATGATGACTAGGATTGTGAATTGGGAAATCTAACCATTTTGAGGGTACAGTATCAAGTTGGTGAATGCATATGGATACACTGGTAGAAACTAAAAGAAAATGTTTTGAATTTGTTACTCAGTTCTACCCAGTGCCTCCCACTTTAGAAGTTAAACAGATACACTATGGTGTTTGATATTTGGAAAACTTTTTTTCTTTCCAGAGAAGCATCTTGTTTCCTTGTGTTCTCTAATTCTATGGCACCATCTTGTCTAGATTTCATGGGTTAATTAAGCTCATGATGTAGAAAGAACTGTCCCTACAGGCAAGACTTGAGCCTAATACTCTAATCTTAGAATTCTAGATTTTGTGCTCTTCCGTACTTCCAGTACTATTGCCTTAACATTCTCCTTATAATTTTCTGGTACTACTGTACCATCAACTAATGGATTGATCCAGCTATTATAATAAAGCTTCTTAGTAAGCTGTAAGTTATTAAAGGCAGAATAATTTGTATTCGTGAAGGCTTTCTCACGGCCGGGATCTAATGGTTGTTGTGGGTTTTTCAGGCTCTTTGGCCATGTTCTGAAGGTTGTTCTTCCTAACGTTTCGCCAGTCTCCGTGGCCGGCATCTTCAGAGGACAGCACTCTGTGCTCTGGTGTAGTTGGCTTGGGAGTGCAGTATTTATGGCTGTGAGATAGGCTTTTGTCTTTTTCTGTTGATGGGTGATTAGTGTATCTTGTTGTGGGTGTAGTTAGGAAGAACAACCTTCAGAACACGGCCAAAGAGCCCGAAAAACCCACAACAACCAGCAGAATAATTTGTTTTTTAAAAGCTGAGCTTTTAAAGTCACTAAGCTTGAGGAATTTTGTTTGATTTTAGCAGATGTTTAATGTAAACTTGGTTGTTCCCCCCCTTTTTTTTTAAATAGTGATCCAGCTGCTAAAGCTTTGTGGGAGTCCTTAATGAATCTCAAGCAGAAAGAAGCCGTGATGGAAGTTAGGAGACATCTAGTGGAAGCTGCAAGCAGAGAAAATTTGCCAATCAAGATGAGTATGGGTAAGGTTTAGAGAATGCATGTGTGTAGCTACCTAACTGTTATGGATTATATCAGGAACAGCTGCTTTTCATCTGTGTCCCAATATTTATTGAGTTTAGATTAAACCCAGTGAGACATTAGCTGCTTGGCTGTCAGTGAATTTGAAGTTAGCACTTGGTGACAAGCTGTGTTTGCTGGAGATAGATGGTTTGAAATCAGTGTTTTGAAACAGACTCAAGCAGTTATGCAATTGCAATCTCATCTGCTAGTGATACATTCACATAAATGTATAATGTGAGTTCTTGTATTTGGTGGTTTAATTATGAGCCTAGGGAGAGCCAGGGTATTTTGGGAAACTGGCACTGAAAGTTCCGTTCTGTGCTCAAGCACTGAAGTGTTGCCACATTCCAGTCTTGATTGGGGCTTCTTTCCCAAAATGACAACTCTCATCATAATCCATTGATTTCTTTCTCTGCTCCCTGTCTCACATATCACAGATATTTGTGTGGAGTAAGCGTGGGCAAAATGCCTCCTTGTTCCCTTGACTACACACATCACTCCAGAATTTAATTTTAAGTTAAATCTCAAAAAGCCCCTCTGTACCCCTAGGAAATATCAGGGGGGGCAGTTTTGCCATGTTTGAGAGGAGGCTAATATCCCTGAGCTTCCCCATTCCCAGAAAGGTTTTAATTTTAAAAATTGCCACTGGCACAAGGTAGTTTTTTCACTTAGAAGAAAATCCACCAAGCCCATCTTCTCTACTAATACTGAAAAAAAAACATGTGGCAAATCAGTGTTAAAGAACCATTCAAACATCTGTGAGGCAGCATAACAATGATTTAAGGCTGAAGCAGAGTGTTGAGAAGCACTATCTTAACTTTCCTGGTTGTAGTTTTAGAAGTAGCCCTGTTAGGTCTGTGCAGGCATTTCAGGCAAAATCCAAAGAAAACAAAGAAAGGACAAAAACATGTTAAATGTGATAACTTTGTTATATGAAAGTCATTCGGTAACTCTTCAGCACTTCTGAAGAAGACAAGGAACAATGTGGGGGGACTTGATTTGAGTTGCCTAAGGGCAAGGGTATGTTTAGTGACCCATATTAGCTTAGTGTTTCTTAGAGGTCACTAGTACTGTTCTGTTCTGCACCTTCTGAAAGTGCCCTTTAACTTTCCCCTTTAGCTACTGGTTGTTGGAAACGGCACATTCCACTTCATGCAGTTAGAAAAGGCAAAGAGCTGTCGGGAGCCAGTTGTGATTTCAGGCTTCTTTCTTACATACAGAGATACTCAAGACTTGCTTTAGTGTAAACTCAAATTAGCATTAAGGTGGAAGCTGGCCATACATAGTTTTACTCTGAAAGCCACTTGGTAACCAAGTTCTCAATTCATATTTTAGCATCAGTCATTTGCAGTTCATTGAATGGATAACTGCATTCCCTGTTTGGCATGTGAAAATATCTTTCGTGCTTTCTGCTTCTCTGTTGACTGTAAAGACCCAACCATGTTGCCAGTTTTAGGTAATTACAACCCCACTCATCCCAACTCTGTTTAGCTGTTGAAGTGGTAAAGGTTGAAATAGTGGTTTTAAAATGTACTACTTGATGAATTAATGCTTATTAAAATGGATTTTAATATATATGGACCTGCATTTTGAAGACAAATAATTTGAACATCAAGCGGTGAACTGATTAATTGATATCTGTGGCTTATATTATATATTCCGGGGGAGGGAGGATATTATTAGAATTAGTCCTAGAGTATTCAGATTTTCAGGCCCCTCAGCTTAATTTACAATATGAGGCAAACATATATGCATCAGCTTTTATAACACCTTGTGTTTCTCCCACTTTCTGGCATACTTTTTGTGTTTCTTCTCTTATTTGTATCAGTATTTCTTTTTTTAAAAAGACAACACCTCCCCCCACATCCTGCTCCTGCAGTGCTTTGCCTCAGGCCAAGTGCAGGAATAGAAAACAAAACAAAACATTTTTTTACAATATTCATTGATAGTTGTGTCATTATTATGCTGTTCAGCAACTGTTTCTGTTTTATATTGTGATTTAATACAGGGTTGCAAAATTCTTGAAGGCATCGTAATGCTCCCATACATCACTTTGCCGCTAACAAGGTCCCCCATTTGGTATTCTTCCTGTTTACATGAAATATATTTGGTAGAATTAATTTCAGAATCATTTATTTAGAAATGTCTTGGGGAAATTGAGTTTTCTTCCTCTGTTTTGCTGAAGCAGAATAGTGGTGCATGTTTCTAGTTATCTTTTAGCCTTGTCCATTGACAACCCACTTTTTATGGCATTTCCTCCCTGATCACTGCCTCAAGTAGCCATGTATAACAGTGCTTACAACACTTTCAGAAAAAACTCATATTGGCCCACTATTGGAAACAACCACCTTAGTAGACTCTTGATAGATGCCCATTGGGGTTACAATCCTAGGCATACAGCAGTACAGTGGTGCCCCGCTGGACGCTTACCCCTCATGATGTCGAAATCACTTAACGATGACTTCTTTGCGATCGCTATTGCAATCACAAAACGATAGTTCCAATGGGGGAAATCCACATTACGTTGATTAGGAGCCTGCTTCACGAACCTTTTGTTCACTATACAATTATTTTTCTGGTTCCACAAAATGGCTTCCCTCCACAAAATGGCTTCCCTCCCTTCTCAAAATGGTTGCTTTCCGGACCCCTGCTTTGGAAGACAGTGATTTTTAACAGCTGATTGGTGGTTCTCTATGGGCAATCTTCACTGGACGATGAGGGATTTCCCCATTGGGATGCATTGACCGGTTTTCAATGCATTCCAATGGTTTTTTTTCCGCTTGATGACAATTTCGCTTAACAGCGATTTTCCTGGAACGGATTATCGTCATCAAGCGGGGCACTACTGTACTAGGAACTGTGGCAAGCTGCTATTGTACTGCTATGTATGGCTGCTGGGATGTAGTTAGTTTGGCTGGTTACACGTTGACTGTCCGTTTGTACATTTCTTAGAGATCATAACAGAACTGAAATGATATGGGAAAACATTGCCATTCTTCTAAGTTCCAGGTTGTCTGTATTTACCTTTCTGAATGAAATGTTTTATTAGGAAAATGGCTTCTACCATATGTTTTTGTCAATGCATAAATCGCAATGTGTGTATCTGTGTGATTTTATTAGTCTTTGTATAACAAAACAGTCAAATCCATTATTGCCTCTGGTTGACCGTCAGTGGCCAAAATAAATTTGTTCTTTTACTATTCTGTGTTTTGTTACCTGGATTATTTCTAGTATTACATTGTATGCAGTCTTGGTAAAAAGATTGTTTATGAAAGTTTTAACACAATATATAAAACAAATAATAAAGAGTGCAGAGTAATGTCAGAGAGGATTTCAGGTACCATTTTAAGAATGCAGCCTTCCATCTTCCATTCTGCTGGATGCATGAGAACTGAATGAGATAAAATAAGGGGTAGAACTTTCACTGTTCTCATACAATGAATTAATTATACAGATTCTATTTAAAAAACAACACTGGAAAATATCCTAAATGCATTCTATATACCGCCAAGTGATGGAGGTGTGTGCAATGTGTGTGTATGGCAGCTTCCTCTGTGATAAGTGTAATCTGTGTATGTCAAGGCATACTTGGAGAAGCAAGCTTGATTCTAAATCTGTTTTTGAACACCTCTTCAGGCAAGCATTTGGCAGCTGAATGGGTTGTGGGGAAAGGTGGTATTAATGAGAGATGCACTTCTTCAAAAATTTCAGAATCTTTTTATTGTCTTAAATCATTACAAATTTATCATTGTAAATTTAATTGCATTTTAGTATTCTAGCTTATGTACTTCATTTTTAACAATCATTTTCATAAACAACATTGAATCTTTGCATTGAGAGAAAGACATGATAAAATGATATAATTATGGTAATGTTGACATAACAACAACTATGATGATCATTAAATGGCTTCCAGTGCCATTGAGAATATAAGTTTATGGAGCAGCTTAAGCTGCTAAAGACTAAAGACTAAAATCAGCAAAATGAATATGAGAATATAAGTTTATGGAGCAGCTTAAGCAGACTAAAATCAGCAAAATGAATAAGTAAAGAAACTGTTCTCCCAAGAAATTGAGGATTCCGGTGGTGCTGGTCATGGTAATAGAATAGGTCTTACTCTAGCACAACTACTTACTGAATACAGTACCTCTTTAGGTTACCCTAAATTGGTAAGGATACCTAGTGGGGTATAAACTACAGGATACAGGAGGCCTGGTTCTGAATCCCTGATCAGCTGTAGAAGTTCACTGGAGGTGTGAAACTGATAGAGCCACAACTTAAATACTTCATTTATCTTGAAAGCCCTATTAGGGTCTCTACAAGTCAGTTCTGACTAGATGGCACAAAACTGACTAATTAACTATCATCATTTATATTTTGCTAGTTTTTAAATGCTCACTTTCCTTAGATTCCAAGCCAAATAGATGGATATAGTGATTACTTATTGGAATTAAAGATAGGATTTTCCAGGAGACATCTACCATTTCGGACTATCTACAATATGACCTTCACTTCAGCATTTGATCAGATCTCGTAGCCACTTCTTTTCTGTTTTTCCTTCCCCTTTTCTGTTTGTCTCCCCTACTTTTATGTCCCACCTATCGTAATGAAGACATGGATGCAAAAGCTTGCATACTTTCGTGATGTTTTTGTCGGTCTTTGTAAAGATATTGCTCAACTGTGGATTTCAGATTGTTTTTCAAGGACCAGCCTGCTTTTGTTTTTGTAGGCTTTTCCCCCAAATAGTATTGTTTCCTCTCAGTAAAAACAGATCTAAACTTTATAAAAATTAAAAAGTGTATCTCCATTACACTTACATATAGCTACAGCTATGTATTTGCATTTATCCAATAAGCCCTTACACTTTTTAAAAGGATCTATAAGTATGTATCCATGAGTCAGCCAGATTTGTTGAAAATGTAGCCTTCTTATTTTCTCATTTGATTTGGTCAGTTATAGC